GATGGATAGATAGATAGCTAGCTAGATAGGTAGATAGATAGATAGCACACTCCGCACAGGAACGCTCACGAAGTTCGCTGACTAGCATGCACCACAAGCACGGACACGCTCTGTTTATACCGCTCTGGCATGGGGTCGAGTGGCATCCTAAAACAAAACTCGAACAAAAGACCGGCACCCGAAACCCTTGAAAACTGCGGGGTACCTCCACGCATCGTCCCAGCTTATATACGTACCCTAGTGGCATGCCCCCAACCATGCACCGCACCCCCCGCCACTCCAACCAGGCAGCGTACCCTCCAACCTCGCGCTCTGTAAACACTCTTCACTTCACTTCACTACGGGGTCCAAGGAGCTGCTTATACCCCCCGCGTCGAGAGGCGCGCCCCTGCTGTCGGGCTTTGTGGGGGAGCGCGAGAACTCCCAAAGCACCATCTGTAAAAATATATGGTTAAAACTCTGCTCGCTCTGTTTTTCCTTCGTTCTTTCGTGAAGAAGGCTGCTCATACTCTGCAACATCAGCCCTGCTCTCTGCAGCGCGGCCCCCCACATCTACAGATGGCTTGTTGGAGCAGCTAAGGTCCAGCACGCACCGAAGCTGAGGCTTCAGTTACGCCTGTTGCCCGCACACATTGTCCTACAACAGTATCCGTTCTTGCGAATGCGGACTGACGATGATCGAAAAACGACCCTGAGCACTCCCGTGATTCGGGAAATCGTGGTGCACGAGATGCCCTCGCTACATGTAAAGGGAGTCGTCTCAAAAAACTAAGAATTCCTTGGGTGAGTGCCAGTGGTGCTCTGATCCGACTCGGACCATTGCCTCTGAGCGTCTCTGTGGCGTCTTGTCCGGAGGCTCGCTGGCTTTGCTGGACTTGCCTCGTGCTTTGCCAACTTTGCCCTCTTGCTCCGCGACGCGGCTCGACACCGAGAACCCCACTAGGGGTGGGCAAGACTCCCAACATGCGCCAAGTCCAAGACAAACCCAAGCGCATGATGGCCTGGATGGTCCACCTCTCTCACGTCCTGCGGATTTGTTGGCGGCCTGCCCACGAGTGCTTCTTGCTTGACCTTAAACATGCGTCGCCTGCAATTGCTACAAGATTTGCTCTGAAGTATCGCACATGTCCACGCTCTCGGGCCGAGCCTTGCCAGCGACTCTTGGTCGGTGACGTCCCGCAAACCGACAAGGTGGCACGTCTTGCCTTTGTCGCAACGAGAACACTTTAAACTTTAAAGCCTTCACGGCTGCGCTCGACGAAGAATCCGAATGTGTCGGCAGCTGGGGAAGCTGGGAAATGTGATATTCGGATGGTGGAACCATGCCTGGAACCCCGATGAGGCAACACGACTCCTCACCCGTGCCAGGCGACCATCTGGCTTTTGGTACTTCACGTGAAAGGATTCACAGCTGAACTTGCTGGCGCAGCTGTCCACCTGAGATCTGCATAAAAAAGTCCGGGCCAGGCTGCAGGGTCCTGCTTCGCCGAATTTTGTCCAAAATAGGCGTGTCCGCACAGACATCTGCACATTGCTACACTGGACCGAAGGATCGAACGCCGCCCTGGCACGAGGCGTGTCCGAAAGGCTTGCGCCACAATACTCGACGACCTTGGGTTCGGCTTGAGAAGAAAGGCACAGCCAAGTGCACAACCCACGCGAAACGAGAGGGCTTCCGATCTGCCTTTAGCAAAGGGGCACGCCCGAGGTGCGAGGTTGGCGCAGTAGCTGGAGTGCTGCTCGCCGCTCCTCCTTGTGGGGCAGCAGGCATAGGAGGGCAGCGAGCCAAGAGCCAGGCAAAGAGCAAAAGCCAAACCCAGCCGAGGCGCAGGGCCTGCCAGCAAGTCTTCAAATTTCGTGCCTGCCAGCGACAGTCCGGGACGGAGCCTCGGGTGTCCAGCGACTCGGAAGCCGCCCTTACCAGCTCTTCTCTCCATGGAGCAGGATCGCTGCTAAGTCGTCGGAGTGTTCCACCAGGCGGAGGGTCGCATCGAGCTCTATCACTGCGTCGCAAGTCAGCTGCCTCAGCTCGTCACAAGCATCCAAGTCATCCCAAGCTGAGACGAGAGATCTTGTCGGTACTTACGACGACGATTCAACCGGAAAGACGAACCGTCTAGAGGCGAGCAGCAAGAGAGCTGTGGCGGCTTGGAGGTCTGTGGCTGCCTCGCTGAAGCTCATCTCCCTTTCCACAGCCTCCAGGACAGGACATGGGCAACGAGGCGAGGCTTAGTCCTGAGAGTCCTGAGTCTTGGAGCCAAGACCTCTCCAAGAAGAACCCCTGTTCTCCTGCGGTTTCTTCTTGCCCTGTGCTTGTTCGTGGTTTAGTACGTTGCATGAGCCGGCCTTCATGAGGGCGACTTGCAGGACAAAGGCCACTGCAAAGGTGAAAAGACCTCAGTCACCGCTGTGGGAAATCGCTCAAGCCTAGCGGCACCACAGCCACCATCAATGTCATCAGCACCAACACTCAAAATGACAGCAGAACCAAGGGACGGTGAGGGAGGGACGATAGGAGCCAAAAGAAAAACGAGCTGCGTGACTCCTGTCTGCTTTGCAAGGGGCTGATCATGAGTTCTAGGGCCGCAGAGGGAAGCGGCGACACAGCCAGAGTCACCTTCAACGTCTTGCCAAACAGAACTAGCTTGGGGCTGTGGAGTTGGGACCAGGTCAGTAGAAAGAAACTCAAAAAATGCTAAAGAATAGGATGAAGGATCCACCGAAAGCGCAATGTTGCCTGCTCTGCATCACAGGCTTGGGGTACTGTATGGGACGCTTCATTAATGTTCATTATGCCAACAAAAGGCTGGACTTTCAAGCATGGCCGTCGGTGTACTTAGGCTTTCTCCAGGTACTGAAGCACTTGACGGTCGCTGACCCGTCGCCCCGACATCGCTGGTGGGGAAGTCTGGCTGAGAAGCAAGCTGGTTGCAGTGCCGAGGTGCAAACAACAATTAGCCAGAGACGGCCCGTCATACAGACTCCGGGAACCTCAAGGTGATCTTCAGAATTTGACAGGCGCAAGCAAGCGCTCAAACAACGAACAAGAAATCCACTGTGGCTTTCTTCTCACCAATTTGTGAAAGCCCAATCTTGGTCCCACACCCGGAAGAAGAAAGCAAAAATCAGAGGCACAATGGCCGCTTCATGCACGTCTGCGGCAGCTGCAGACTCGCGTGACCGGAGTTCATCCATGGCTGCATAGATGACCACGAGGCCCATCCCCATCCCTCCCAGATAGCAGGCACTTGCAGTGCTTGTGGAGAGGACGCCTGGCCTCATAAAGTGTAAAGTTGAGGCTGCAAAAAATGTCAAGATGGCCCAGCGCAAAGCATCTGTCATCATTGTCTGACCCTGCCATGGGACCCAGATGGTCCAAGCAATGAAGGGTCCGCTAACCAGCAGAAGCAAATGAGTGTATATCTGCGCTACACGCAGCCGCAGCTCCGTTGCCTTCGTTTCCATGAAAAACTTCTCCTCCAAGTGAAATCGAGCGCAACAATGCAGCTCTGCGAAGGTCTTCTGAATTACTCTGCAAACTTGCCGCCAGTTTGTCAGTGCCAGATAGAAACCGCGGCCGAGACATCCGGCATGCAAGATACAAACCAGCACCGTGTAGACAGTGGCCGCAGCATCGCTTAGCGGCATCCTTCAGACCATGCCTTGAGCCTAGAGCGGCAGATCGGACCTGAATCTGCATGGCGGCAGGGACTATCTCTGCAAATCACGGGCCGTGCCACTCGCGAGACCTGCGAGACCCCGGGAGCCCCTGTGAGACGCGATCTCGCTTGGACCCGAAAGGACGGGGCGAGCCTTTCTCTTCTTGGATTTCTTCTCCTTCTCCCCGCCCTCCTGGGAACCGGAGCTGCATGCAACTCATGCGTCCAGCTTTGCACACCGTGTGCCTTCAAGCGAACCAACCCCCTATCAGTTAGCAACTGCCGATTCTTAGGCAGAATACAGCTGCGGCAACCCATAGCATGCAGACGTAAACCCAAGCTTCTGAGCACCGTCAATGCTCGAGAAGTGGACACTACTTTGGATCCAGCATAAAGATGAAGCAGGCCGACATTAGACTTCCGTAAGCAAAGCAGAGAGGTGTTTGCAAATCACGCTGTGAGAAATGAAGTAGAACTGCTTGACGGGTCCAAGGTCTTCAGGAAAACACACAACGAAGAAATCCAACAAATCAGGGCGGCACACCTCGCACAAAACAAGACGGCCCGCGACCGAAGCGACGGCTTACATGCGCAACTCCTAATATTCCCACCTCCGCTATAGACGAGCCGGCCAAAGAACCGGCACCCGGCGCGGACAAACCCGAAATGAAAGAAGTTCTTTGATTCATCACTCTCGGCGATTGCAATAAGTGATGTAAACAGACTCCTGTGCTGTTTCGAAACGTCAGCTGCTGGATGAAAGTACTGGCACCGTTTGTGATGCTGGATGTCTTTGTGGGCTTGAGGTTGTTCCGGGTGTGGGCCCAGGTGAGTTGACCTATTTGCCAAATGGGGGGAAAGGCCATGTTTACATGGCATTCGCTGACTGTCTCTGCCGATCAGTACCCCAACTATCGAAACGCACAGTTGCTCAACTCTGAGAACAAAAATCGAACCACGCAGCCGGAGCTAGAGACTGCAATTGGAAACTGAACCCTAGGTCGGAGAGTCCTTTTCTCGAACCTGGGCACAGCAGGGAGAACTTGATTGCACCCGTTGAAGATCGTGAGCTACGGACGCACATGTAGCTTTCCACTTTCTTCTGCCTTGAGCTTCTATGCATCTCAGCACGCCCTGCTCTTCCGCCTGAAGTCCCTCGAACTCATGACCCAGAGTAGACTCCACGGAGCAGTCTGAGTTGGCAACAGGCGGCGGATGCCGCACAGGCTCCTGCCCAGGCATGTGCAAAATATGAGCCGCACGTGCTCACAAGCCTGAAACTTCAAAGACAAACAGACACGCAGTACAAAACCAACATGCATGTTCCAAGACTGACACATACCCCACAAGTGAAAAGCTTGGAGCGGACGCAGCGCCTCGGGTGCTTCGTGGCTGCGACGTGTCAAATACGCCACAGTTTAGAGCCAGGAGCCGGACGTGCAAAGCCTTTAATGGCGCGCCTAAACATCAAAGCAAACCCTGGAACCTCATCGTCGTCCACGACCTCCACCGGGGCCACGATCCCACCGGGAATCTGCAGTGCCAGTGCACTTTGCCAAAGAATCAAATCTGCATGCAACACATGACAGAATCGGAAAAGCACCGCTCGAGGTCTGGCTTTAAGTTACCTATTGCACATCCCAGATATCGGCCAGGACACATTCATCCGGTTGCTAGGAAGCTGATACACTGGCTTATCTATCTCATGACATCGCAGACAGGCACCTACATGGACTGGAGTGGCAGTTGTCGACAAATGGAAGCTTAAACAAGCCAAATGAAGCAGGCCTCCACTCCCGCCAAGTCCGACTGAACCTCGCCGGGTGGCTGTTAGCAAAACCCGTACAACGGCTATGTCCGTATGTCGGAACCCGGAATTTGATGCGGGGTCTTTTGTCACGCCAGCGATCGCCAGCGTGTCTCACCTCTCTCAAATTCTAGTCTCGAGGACCTAGTAGCCGAGCCGGGGCATGCGGAGCTCGCCTCTGCTGCCAAGCGCTCCGCCTGCTGCCGCTGGAGCTTTGCCTTTCCGATGCTTCGTGTAACGCTTCCCCCGCGACACATCAGGCATGGTCTGAAAACCTGCTGCTTGGGCGGCTCTCACAGAGAAGCAGCGATGTATATCGGCTGCAGGCAAGGAGTCTGCAGTTCAACTTCTGGTGCTCTGACCCCTGCCTGTTTACGGTGCACGCGCGCTTCGTGGCGTTGTCTTCTGAGCATTTCGAGCTCGTTCTTGGCCTTTCGACAATGCTCGATCTGCTTCGACCACAAATATGAAGCCTTTCCACAAGGAGGGACGAAGACCTCCCGTGCGCTCGCTCTCGCCTGCAGCAGATCGCCAGCAACTTTCGCCATGCTCGCCTGCAGCTTCTCGCTGTCCTCGAGAATGTCATGGGCTGCGATGGCTGCGATTGTTCGTGGCTCCGTCCTGGCCGAGCTCTTTGCAGAACTCGACGGCCTCCTTTCAAGGACTCTGCGTTTGCAATCGTCATGCGATGCACAGCACGGAAATGAAGACAAACGAACGCGAGGGCAGCTCAAGGAGCTTTCAAAAGCGGCTCCTCGCACTTCTGCTGGAGCTCCGCATTTTTCCTGCAAGGGAGACATCTAAGAATCGGCTTCCTTGGGCACGCGAAGCACAGACGGTCATGGAACTTCCATCGGGCATCAGTTGAGGTATATGGCATACGGACATCGCGAGCCAATGCTGTAATTCATGGCCTCTGCTCGTTCTGCAAGGCCACGCGAAGGTCCGCCAAACGCTCCTGAGAGCAGACACAAAGCCTGACTGCAGAAGCTGCATGGCACTACTGAAACCTTCCAAGCTGTCAAGAAGCTGTCAACTTACACATTGTCTGCCGCAGCACTTGTCTGACAGTTCGCCGGACGTAGTTCTTCAGAACGAATCTCGAGTAAAGCCACAACGAGCCCCAGCAGCCTGAGCACCCGAGTTGCCTCTCGCATCAACTCGCCGAGCTCCCGATTTTCGCTTAGGAGCGCCTGCCAGATGTTGGTGCTTCTACTAAAGAGTACGGGTGCTTTACTTACCCCAAGATGCTGCAACCAATCGAAATCACTGTCAGTCCGCTTCGTCGAAGAAACCGCTTGATGATGCATGCGAGATCCAGCTAGTTTGTTGAGTAATGACACCTGCTACTTGAAAGGATAACTCGCAGAGTTAGTGCCGTCGAGAAGCTTTGCAGTCTGAGCGGAGGAGCGTGCACAAGAGGAAACTACAACATGAGGCAGATGCATGGGCTGCGAACTCGGCTTTTGGCCTTGCACTTCTGCATCAAGGCCTGCAGAACTAAGCCGAGTCGTTCCGATGCACCCTAGAACCGCTGCAGCTCCCCGGGATTCCCATCCACTCACAGACCTTCCCGTCCGTGTTGCTCTGATCAAAGCGGTTGGCCTCCAATGTCGGCACTTGCGGGACCAACAACTTGCACTAGGCTTCTGCTGCAACCACGAGAGATCCTGAGCAAAGACCGGATCAATGCCGGCACTTTGCAGTTAAAACAAAAAACGCGTCGCCTCCACATCATCTTTCAGCTGGTTGAGTCGATGCTCCTTGGCCCGTGCCTGCATGGTTTAATTACAGTCACAGATCGCCCAAAAAGCGTTCATACTACCTGGGGCTAGGATTCACAATGCGCGTCGACCCGCCTGCTGCCGAAGCATGAGCACCTGTTCGCGGCACAGATGGCACAGCAGTGGCGGGTTGCGTTTCTTTGATGCGAGTATTTGATCGTGAGAGACCTGGTAACGCATCCGCAGAGTCCTAACTCCCACAGTTCCCCATCTCATCCAGTTCGCCGGGCACATTTGAACTGTCTTCAAAGACGATGGGGAAGCGCAGGCTGTTGGGCCTCCATGTTCGCAGTGGAATCTGCCAGGGCACCTCGAATCGAAGTCGCCGCAGTCCACACAAAACCAGCCCCGGAAGGAAGATCTCAGGCAACATCCGGGTCCGCCTCTCTTTGTGGCCAGTGACTGGTCGCCGAAAGCACCGAGAATCTCGCTGGCGAGACCCCTGGCATCACAACAGTTTCGAATGTACGGCTTCCTCAAATCCAAGCTCAAAGGCCTGCCCTCTAACTATTTCATTATACCGCTCATCGCGTCTTGCGACTTTACGCAAACTGTCATGGTGTTTCTTGCAAGTCTGCACAAAGCAATAAGAAGGCACTTGCGCCTTAGTTGGCTCATCTCGGCCTCCTGGCGACAAGACTGCAATGGCTATTATGGTGGCTGTGGAACATCGGCCTTGCCAAGCTGAAGGTCGAGACCAGCACAACAACAGACAAGTCGGCTCGGAAGCAAAGAGTGGCGAGATATCCAGGCTCCAGAAACTAGACACCCCCAACCCCCGGAAAGGATTCTGCACATCGGCCGGTCCTGATTGACCAGTGCCGAGAGGTAGATGGTCTCGCGAGTCTTGTACTCCTGGCCGACTGTGATAAATCAAAATTTGCAGTTGCAGTTTTAGCTGTTGTTGTTGTTGCTGCCGCTTCTGCTGTTGTTGTGGTTGTGGTTGTGGTTGTGGTTGCTGTGGTTGCCCTGGTTGTTGTGGTTGTTGCGGTTGTTGTGCTTGTTGTGGTTGTTGTGGCTGTTGTTGCTGCTGCTGGTGCTGTTGCTGCTACAAGTGTTGTTGTTCTTGTTGCTGCTGCCGTTGTTGCTGTGCTTGTTGCTGCTGCTGCTGTTGTTGGTGGTGTTGTGGTAGTTGCCAGGTGGTTGTTCACTGTAGTACACGAATTGTTTGGTGGCTTGCCTTCGGAGCGCAGGGCCAGGACGATGGAACGCGTCATCTGGCTTGGGGGAAGGGCCAGAAGGGGGAGGATGACAACGTCTACAGCCACAGTACACCAGGCCGCTAGCAAGATGTATTGCTTGCTGTTGTGGGCTTGTTGATTGTGGCTTGTT